ATAGGCATTCTTAAGAATACATTTGTGAATGTCACACCGTGGGTGGTGAAAACCAGATCATGGCCTTCCTTGTCTGTCATTTTACCTCTAAACTGCGCTTTTTCAGGGTTCCCACACGTCCTGGAAAACCTGTAAAATTGATGACTAATTTTCCAGTCCTGGAAAACACATGGAAAATGAATGAAAATGTAAAATGTCCTGGAAAAATCTTCTTGTTGTCCTTGAAAATTAATGTTAGAAAACGTTTGAATGGCCATAAATCGAACGGGCCTGTTTTTTCTCCAAATGCGCGAACTGCAACCGGCTCTTTTGTTTTATTTCAGCCGATCTCTGTTCCAGACTTGCACACAAACTGTATTGCAAGCTTTTTCCAAAATGCTATTTGTGTGGAAATATTACAAAGTCTGTAAACGGGATGTGAACAGAGGCTGAAGATGAACACAAAGAGGGGAAAATACTGTTGCAGACAGAGCAGCTCACTGTTCAACGATGTGCGAAATATTGGAAGAAATCCTTAATACTGAATTTGGGATGGGGGTTTATAAAATGTCTCTGAGGGGAACTGACTGTTTTCAGAAAAGTTTAGATGGTATTTTCTTTTCATCTTGCCTCTCTATAATGTAATAAGCTGCATCCCAAATGAAGCACTATACACTATGCACTTATACTGTATATCGTTTCATAAGTGCCACCTGCTGTCAGAGAGTGAATTTACGTTCTCATTCATCCCATCTGCTGTTTCTGTTTCGTGCAGATGTTTTATGTAGGCTAGTATAATTTCACAAAGCTAAAGTCAAAACATTCTGTTTTTGCTTCAGAATCTTACAGCCTCTCACTTCCGCCAATATGGATTAACGATTTTGATGACATCACCCTGTAGCTTCTTGTCAAAGTTTCTGTCCAATCAAATGCTCTCTAGAATCTGAAGCGTCCCACCCCCTACACTATAGACGCTTCATCTGAAATCGGTCACTTGTTCACAAAATTAGTATTTTCTGTATGGTGAATGGCACATAGTGAACTATATAGGGGATAGGGAACTATTCAGATTCAGTGTAAAAATGCTTTCAGTTTCATGCCTTAACCCAAGAGATATTACCAAATAAAGAAGACCAAAAAAATCTTGCTGTAGGTTAAAGGACACCGAACAAAGAGCATTCCTTATAGTCTTGTTGCTACACTGTTGTTTTAAAACATCAACTTCATCTATAAAAATGTTTCCACAAGAATTATCCATGTTGATTTCCTCTGAAATACAGTTCCACTCTTTGGAATCGCGTCAAGAACAATAGAAAATTCTTTAACTGGTAATTTTAATTTTGAAGAAATTCAGTGTATGACAACAAATATCCATGCGCTCTTAGAAATAAAAGTACAAAAGCTGTCACTGGGGCAGTACCTTTTCAAAAGGTACACTTTTGTACCTATTAAGTTCTAAAATGTACCTTTAAGGTACCAAAAAGGACCCTTTAGGTACAAAAATGTACCTTTTGAAAAGGTACTGCCCCAGTGACAGCTTTTGTACCTTTATTTCTGAAAGAGTGGGAATTAACCAGTTGTCCAAGTATGATAGAATAAAGATTTGTTTTTAAATCGTATGTCCTTGTTATACCATATGAAATAATTGTGGGGTGAAAAATTGTGCTTATATACCAATTTCCATGCTAGCAGGGCTTGTCTGTGAAAACTGGCAAATTTAACAAAAATTTTGTCAACAGAAAAATAACATTTCTACAAAAAGTCTATGCCTCCAAAAGTATTAAATATATGATTAGGAAATACATTTCAAGGTCTTTCTCTGTAATTGAAGTGTACTATAACCTAAGACCTCAAGTCCCCCTTGCTCTTTAGGACTACAAATTGCCTCCTTTTTTAAATAATGTGTTTTTTCCTCCAAATAAAGTTATAAAGAATCTAGATCTTTAATAATCTTAGAAGGCAAATCTAGCGATAATGACGTATACACAGATCTAGATATACCTTCTGCCTTTGACAATAATACCCTCCCAAATATTGAGATATCCCTCATTAACCACAAATTAAATTTATTTTTTGTTTTCTCAATAATTGGTTCAAAATTGAAATGACACCTATGTTTTTTTGTTTTTTTTTACATAATTACTACACCTAGATATGTTAATTCATGTTTGACTGGAATAATTTCTGTAGAGGAGCAATCTTTAAGGGGAAACAATAGAGATTTATCTCAATCCATTTTAAGGCCTGAAACACCAGTGAATTCCTCAATATATCTAATTATTTTTGGTACTTCAAATCTGTTTTTCAAAAAAAAACTGCAGTGTCATCAGCAAACTGTATATTACATACAGAAATCCTATGTATTACACAGAGCAGAGGCTATGTTCTGTTCTGTCTCATCTATAATCTTTCGGACTATGCCAATAAAAACAATTTAAACCTAAAGCATGTATGGATGTATTTATATATTACATTATCCCTTAATCAAGTTTATTTTAAAAGGATTTGATCATTTGATAACCAAGAAACGGCTAAAGACACATCTCTTCCGTCTACACTTGACCCACTAACACTAGAACTATCTATTCTATTTTTGTTCTATCTACTTGTTTTCATTTTATTAAAAAAGTAACCCTCTAACACTATCTACTTTCTATCTTTCTAATTATTATGAAAATAAATAACTTGACCCTCTAACACTAGCTGTATCTATTTTCTCTTTTCTATCTACTTTTTATTCTTTTTATTTGTTATAAAAAAAAAGAAGAAGAAAAAAAAAAAAAAAAAAAAAAATTTACGGTTATTTACTGTAAATTATACGGTCATATAATTTTCACTTCCAAAAACGGTATACTACCGTACAATTAATGTCCAATACATGTAATGTCCAATACAGTTCCCTTTCGATACTTCACTCGTACTGCGTCTTGCTAGACGCATATGGGAAAAAAGCAGCCTTTTTTCTCCTGAACTGAAGCCTTTTTTCATTCACGCAGTGATACTGCACGGCCATTGGTTCGTGCAGTGTGTTAAAAAACGAACCAATGGCTAGGCAGTGGAGCTGCATAAGCCTATGGCGACGAAACCCACCAAGCCTGCTAAAGCCCGCCAGAATGGGTGGGGCATCTGGCTATATAAGCAGGTGCTCGCCACAGGATTCTCCGATTTTTCTCCTTCAGCGACGACTCTACGTCTCAAGCTGATCCGAAGCCGTTTGCCGTATGACACGCCTTCGCAGCTGGAATCAGGACCTCTCAGCTTGGCTGACCTGCTTCTCTGCCGATCCAGCGACGCAGCAGTTCCGGTCCGGTTCCCCTGCCGCCATCCGGTGACTTCTAAAAGAGCTTCTAAAAGAGCATCGGCGTTGTTGCAAACGCCGCACCGTTATTGCGGTTCGTGCGGGTCCCCCCGGCACGCCGATGACGGCCACACGGAGTGTGTTTCCTGCTTGGGGAAATCCCATGCGGAAGCTGCGCTCACGGGAGCCAATTGCTATAATGCTTTCATTATGCATATAATGAATATTATGCATATATAATGCTTTTTATAGGCAATAAAGTATGCATGGCTGCAAAACCTGAAAATTTGAGTGCTGTCTTACAACTCCGAAGTAAATGAAAAAAACCTGCTTATTTTAGTTGCTCCTCAGAAGTAAGACACATTCCTTATTTTCCTTTTTTTGTTATCTTTCAGACTAGTGCATAATTGATTCTTTAGTACATTTAAAATAAATTTGAAATTAAGCAGACATCAATTACTTGAAGGTTTTCTTTTGAACCCTCAGTTGTTCTTCAAAAGATCTTTAGTGTCTTTGTTTACTCTCAAAGAAAGGTCTTGTCTCATTCTCATGTAAAAAGATAACCATCTTAACCACAAATGTTCCCTTTCGATACTTCACTCGTACTGCGTCTTGCTTAAGACGCCTATGGGAAAATACCTTTTTTCTCCTGAACTGAAGCCTTTTCATTCACGCAGTGAAACTGCATGGCCATTGGTTCGTGCAGTGCTTAAAAAACGAACCAAAGGCTCGGCAGCGGAGCTGCACGAGCCTATGGCGACGAAGCTCGCCAAAGCCCGCCAAAGCCCGCCAGAATGGGCGGGGCATCTGGCTATATAAGCGGGCTGCATCCGGGCGATTTCTAAAAGAGCTTCTAAAAGAGCAAATTGGCGTTGTTGCAAATGCCACGCCATTACTGCGGTTCGTGCAGGGGGAACCGATGACAGCCACACGGAGTGCGTTTCTTGCTTGGGGAAATCCCATGCGGAAGCTGCGCTCACGGGAGCTATTTGCTCCCATTGCGAGAGCTTCAGTCTCACCTCTCTCCGCTCACGGATCGTTTTCTTTTCAGAGAGCGACTCCGCCCCCCACGCCCTCCCGTTTTCTTCCTCCCAGGGACCTGTGAGGAAAAAACAGCGGGGCAAAGGGGTCGAGCGATCGGCTACGAGCGAGCTCACGCCGGCCCAGATCCCGCGTGCCTCGCTCTCGCCGCAGAGAGAGTATTCCGCCGTCCTTTTCTCCCGGTCTGATCAGCGTCCCTCTGCTGGTGCGAGCGAGCTGATCTCATTCGGGGGAAGTGGGGACAAGCTGCTCGATGACAGCATGTCATTAGCAGCATCGGATGCAGAGGAGCTGTTGGGCTCGGAGAATGACCCCACCCCCTCGCCATCATCCGCACCCAGCACCACTAAAGATGGGATGGGGTTTAGAGTGGTCCCCGCCAGAGGAGCCCTATCGCAGCCGTCTGGATGAATGGTTCCTGCCGGGGCGCCACCAGGCCTCTCGTCAGCGTACTTCTCCGTTTTTCCCAGAGGTCCATGACGAGCGCAGCCTCCCTTACACCTCTTGACACCCCGCTCACCTCCGGGTACAGAGGGAAATGTGTTTTGTGCGAACAACGGGCCCGTTCATGCGCCCAAGCATTCAACCGCTGTGATAGCGGGAAAAATAATGGGATCTGAGGAGCGCGACGGACCTGGCTCTACGCGCCACCAAAATCACCACCCAGGCGATTGGGAGATCGATGGCCAGCCTTGTGGTGCTCGAGTGCCATTTATGGTTGACGCTGACGGAGATGAAGGACGCGGATAAGATCCCCTTCCTCGATGCTCCTGTCTCCCCCAAGGGCCTTTTCGGCCCAGCGGTCGAAGGATTTGCTGTACGCTTCACGGAGGCACAGAAATCGTCCCAGGCTATGCGACATTTCCTGCCTAAGCGCTCCAGCTCCGCTGCTGCCTCAGCTCGCCCAAAATCTGCGCCGACTCAGCAGCCTGTGAAACCAGCACCTGCCGCCCCCACTGTTCAGCCCGCTAAAGTGCAGCAGGCACGGGGAAGCTCTCGCTCGGCCAGACGCTACCCTCTTCCTAAGCGCCAGGGACCCCAACCCATCACCCGAATTAATTCAACCCCTCGTCACGCGGGCCGAGACCTGGCAGGCCATCCCCGGAGAGTCGAAATGGGTTATGGGGATAATAAAGCAAGGATATTCAGTCCAATTCGCTCGAAGACCCCCGCGCTTCAGCGGCGTGGTCCCCACCTCAGTGCAGAGCAAGGACGCTCACATCCTGCGCTCAGAGGTGATGAATTTGCTGGCAAAAGGAGCCGTGGAAAAGGTTCCTCCAGCCCAGAGCGAGTCAGGCTTTTACAGCCGTTACTTCCTCGTCA